TTTTAGCGACCTTTTTTTTTGGCGAAGTAATTGGTCACGCATCACATGGGGAGTGGGCCATTTGGAACTCATAAGCTTTTGATCACTTGTGATTCTGTTGCATTCATATAAATGAAGTTATACAATGGTTGCTTGAGTGTGTACAATGACCGTGTAAGTGATGTTCCGGGGTTGCAATTGTGACTGGTGATTGTAGGGGCCGAGAAAGCACTTTTGAATTATCATGCGCTTAAGTTGCGTTCTGAGTAATGTTGTGCCAAGTGTAATTGAGGTTTCTCATATTCTCTTGGGAATGTGATCTTGTTCATAGCTAGCTACTAGAAGGGTGATATTCGATTCTCTTTGTCTAACAGCCTAATCTGAATAAATTTCTGGAGTTGGGGCGACCTGCATGGAAAGAAGCTCGTGCTTCGCTCCAGAAGCTATTGTCAGGTGTACCTCTTTTTTTATTTTTAGTTTTTTTAAGTTGATGTTTTATTTTTTTCGCTATTGATTTGTTGGGGCAAATATGCCAAGCACTTTTGGCGTTCAGTAGAGTTATTTGTTTGTAATGAGATTTTAAGAGTCAGTTGTTTCTTATTGCAGCTACTGAACCGACCTTGCGTGACAGTGCTAGTCTGAGGTCGAAGGCTCTGGTGCCAATGGTAGGATATGCATCCACTTCTGAATGGCTAAACAGGGTTCACTTCACTGTTGCTATAATTGATATTTTGCTTGTTGATGCTGCAGGACAAGGCACAGATGCTTCTTCCCATTGCAGTTGGAGACTATTCAGACTTTTTCTCGTCCATGCATCATGCTAAAAATTGTGGGACTATATTTAGGGGCCCAGAGAACGCAATCAATCCCAACTGGTATAATGAAATTTGAAGTTTTTTGTGGTTTTTACTAAAAAGCTTGAGCCAAAAACAAAAAAGATAAACAAAATGCGGAAGAGAAAGGAATTGGACTATTATTCTTCTTGAAATATTGCTTACAGTTTTATTTATCATTTTTCATGGTCTCCAGGTTCCAACTTCCAATTGCATATCATGGCAGAGCATCTTCCATCGTCATCTCCGGCACAGATATTATTAGGCCAAGGTAACGATATGATTGATCCTTCTTTGCCCCTTAAAGTAATTAAGTTCACGAAATCTGGATTGCCTTGTGATATATTTTATAATCTCAGAGTATGCGCTGCACAAACAAATTTCTTGTTGATTAGAATCAATTAGATCTGAGTATTGTCCTTGTCTTGATCTGCCAATTTGTGAAGTATAATTTGTTTCATATTCTTCTCTGCATTGATGTGCACATTGAGCCATGTAATTCTGAAATAACTACTTTCAAACATGTGAACATTATTACATGGAAATTGTTTCGTTTTTCTTTTGAGTTTAAACTTATCTCTATACTCTTGTATGATGATTCATATTGCATTCAGAGGACAAGCTCATCCTACTGGCAATTCACCACCGTATTTTGGACCCTCGCGAAGGTTGGACTTTGAGCTGGAAATGGTAAGCTTTTGTGGGACATACTTTTGGACAGGATATGGCTTTTCTCTTTCATTTGCATCAATTTTAGGTTGCATACTAGAAGCTACTTCCTCTTATGTGGATGTGCATCTAATATTTATGACGGAAGATCGTAAAACAGTTTGCTTGTTTTAACTCTTCCATAATCTCAATTTTTCTTGCCTCCTTGTGGGATACCAATATAACTAATTTCTCTTACCTTGTTCTTGTTCTTTGTATGATAAAGGCTGCTGTAGTTGGCCCCGGGAATGAATTAGGAAAACCTATCGATGTTAATGATGCTGCTGGTCATATCTTTGGACTTGTTTTGATGAATGATTGGAGTGGTATGGTGAATGCTTAGCTTCATTTAAGGCTAAACTTCTTTAATTGTTTGTTTATACCCAATTAACACAAGCTATATCAACAGCAAGAGATATTCAGGCATGGGAATATGTTCCTCTTGGTCCTTTTCTTGGAAAAAGTTTTGGTGAGCTACCTTCTTCATTTTGCTTTTATCACATAAAACTCTGCTTAGACATGCTAGAACTTGCTTAAAATTGAAATTCTGCTTCTTTATGATTGCATTATTTCTCCTGTCCCATGGAACATTGCACATTGCTTAATGCTCTGATGGTTTTCTTTTGGCCGTGTATGTTTTCTAGGTACGACAGTATCCCCTTGGATTGTGACCTTGGATGCTCTAGAACCCTTTTCTTGTGATGCTCCGATACAGGTACTTTATATTCTCTGTCAGTTTGGAGCACTGGGCATTCATCAATGTATAAGCACTAATACGGCTTTGTTTGCAGAATCCTCCTCCTTTGCCATATCTTGCTGAGAAGACCTCCAAAAATTATGACATTTCTTTGGAGGTATATTTGTTTTAAAAGAGACGTCTTTTTGATATTGGGAATTTTTTTTTTTTTTTGGTTTTTAGGGGGGGGGGGGGGGGGGGGAGGAGGGGATATGTAATTCTGGATCTCCTATATATGCTCCTGCATGAAAGAAACACAGAGAAAAGGAAAAACTCGAGAACAGAATTACAGAAGAGGATATAAGAGTTGCTTCATCTGCTAAATTGATGCTTTTCATTCTTGTCACAATGCAAGGTACTCATTAAACCTGCTGGACAAGAAGATTCCTTTGTCATCACAAGGAGTAATTTCAAGCACTTGTAAGTAGTCTTATATTCTATAAATTATTTAGTTGCTCATCAGTCAATCATTCACTATGAATGCGGGTGTCTTACATCGCTGTGGATGAACTTCTCATTGAATATCATTCAGATGCTTTTTCGAGCATTATGTTTGAATTTGTTGATTATCTTAACTTTAAATAGAAAGAAGTCCCAATTCCGACACAAAACTGGAAAAGAGAAATGACTTTTCCTGCCAATGAGAGATGCATGTTCATAATTATAAGCATGTTGGTCAGCTGTGAAATCTTGTCTTTATTTCGGTAAAGGTATATTGATTTTGAAAGTCTTAATGACTGTTGAAAATCTATTTGCACACAGATACTGGACAATTACCCAACAACTTGCACACCATACTATAAATGGTTGCAATCTAAGGTCTGGTGATCTCCTTGGAACTGGCACAATTAGCGGACCAGTAAGATTTAGAGCTCTGCAGTCTGAACTTCTTCTTTTAATCTTGGAGAACAGCTGCTAGTACCTTTCGCCTAAACTGCATTCATATGACCATTAATTTCTCTACAGGAACCAGAATCTTTCGGATGCTTGCTGGAATTAACCTGGAATGGGCAAAATCCAGTGTCTTTAGGCGCAACAACCCGTAGATTTCTAGAAGATGGAGATGAAGTGGTTTTTACTGGTTTTTGCAAGGTTCATTCATAATGTCGATTATTCTACTCCTATGTTTTATACTTTCCTAGCATTCTCTAAATGATTCCATCCTTGAGGCCGACAATCGTTGTTCTTAAGAGCATCTTAGCTCAGTATATTGAGTAATCACCACCTTGTCTGCCCTTTCATCAACTCATACATCATCTGCATGCTACCCGCACGCACATACAACAATATATTTTGACCTTTGGCGTAACTCATTATTTTAAGCAGATGGTTCATGGTCCAGTTATTGAAGCATTTAATCATATCGCCATCAACTTTGACCTTGTAAACTGTGATGATGAAATTCATAGAACTTGGACATATGAGATTTTGATTTTTTTGTAGGGTGACGGATATAATGTTGGTTTCGGGACGTGCTCTGGAAAGATTCTTCCGGCATCGACTTGACCGCATCCACATCCATACTTGCACAGATTTAAAGAACTCTCAGCATTCTTTGACCTCCCTGCTTTTGCATGCTTCGTGGGAGGATGGATGAGGCGGTCGTTTAGCTGTAAAATTATTCACTCTTAATTTTATGTGCCGCGGACAAACTAAAATTTCGGGTTTGTTTGGATCGAGGATTATTTGTCAAAATTTATTTACTTACATCATCATTACAATTTTCAACACACCTTTTTATCTTCTCAATTATCTTTTTATTTCACATACATCACATCACAAAAAGTGTTACAGTAAAAATATTTCAAATAATTTACAATTCAAACAGAGCCTATGATTGCTAATAAAGTACCTAATTTTATGTGATTGTTTGCTTTTGGTTCGTTTTAGGGCCGTTTAAAGAAATTGGTCCATCGGTTAAAAAGTCTTAAAGAGGATTCTTAGAGTCTGAGCAGTTGTTAAAATGCAGAAGGTTTTTTTTTTTTTTTTTTTTTTTTTGGTCGAGGGTCAAACAAAATTTTCATTCATTCAGATAGTAGATTACAGTTTTTAAAAAATGTATTTTAAAAAATAAGAAAAAAAATCGTGTCGGAGGACATCATAAGTTAGACAAAAGGTTCTAGCTTCTAGTAACTCTTGCGAATGACCGGGAAGTGGATATCAAACCATCCAAGTGTCCATGATGCGAAGCAAACAAACTCATCAAGTCACAAATTTGGTTTGTATCAATTGGAGTTGTATCATTTTGTGAACCATACTCCAAGAAGCTCTTAAAGCCTAAAGGATCAACTCCCTTTTCTTTTCTTTTTTTTTCAAACTAAGGTCACTCAAGTGCATTTCATAAAGCTGAGATACGAAATGTTAATCTATTCAATTACTGAACTGTTAAGTATTGAAATCTTAAATATTTGAATTTATTTTGTATTAATTGATAAGAGAATCATTTATCATTTATTTTTTTGAGTAAGTTTTTTCTTGAGACACTTAATTAATTAAAATATTTTATTTTTTATTATCAAACATATTAAATACATTACATTTTAAATCTATTAAATTTAAAGATTGAGTTGAATTACCAAACAACTTAAACATTCATCAGGGTATAAAATTGTTTTGGGCTTTTTCCCATCACTAATAGACCTAATTATACAGAGCGCACTAACAATAAATAATACTAATTCAGAATTTAAAAGAAAGTAATGCCAAAAGTAGTGATTGAAATCATCACAAGCGGTGGGGCCTAGCAATTAACGGGCGGAAGTCTTTACGACAGGACGGAAGCCTATCGCGTAATACGCGCCACCATCATTCAAGAACCCGACGTCCCTTTCGTTTTACTCGGACTTCGTCTTCTCTTTCCTCTTCTCCTCGCTCTCACCCTACTCTTCAGCCTTCTTTCGAAGTCTCCCCATCACCATTAGCACACTTTTTTTTTTTGTCCAAACCAGTATGAAGTCGTCGTCATCTAGAAGAAGCAGAGGCGGGTTCTTTTCTTCTTCAATTTCCACTAGTAGCGCTAGCACAATCACGTATACTGCTAGTACTTTCCAGGATGAACATCCCACCCCACACCTACAATTCAAAACTTCAGAATTCCCCAACTCTGGTGAACAAGAACAACCCTCTACTACACCTGTTCCAATTTCAGTTCATCACCAAGAATCCTCTCCTGCTGCAAATGCTGCTGCTCTTAAGATACAATCAGCTTACCGGGCTTACTTGGTCCGCAGTCTTGTCAAGAAATTGTCTGCAGTTAATTCAGAAGCTAATTACTGGGAAAGACATATCCAATGCCAGGTATCTATTGGCTAATTTGTTAAGATGGTTCATTTCTTTTTCAATTACGGTAGTTCTTTTCAAGATTTCTGGTCTCTTATATTTCTTTAATTAAGTACTCCTACTATTTGATTTGGAATTCTATTGTGATCCGTTTGCTGTTGGACGAACTCTTTTATTGGTTGCTGGGTGCCACGGTGTGGATTCTCAATTTAGGACATGTTTTAACTGAATTTTTTTGGCCTACGTGATCTTGAAGGTTTGAGACTTCAGTGTGTTTTTCCTTGATCTTGCTACGTTGGGATAACTTCTACATTGGACTATGTTGAAATTAATTATGAAAAACTCTTGAGCTGTCTTTCCCTGAGCGGAAGATGTCAATAATCCCACACAAAGCCTTTCCAAGATTTGGCAAGTGTTGCTTGCCGCATTGGGACATTTTGGGCTTCAACTAAATAAAATGCAGAGCAAGAGAGTTTTGCTGTGAAGTGAAGAAATAACTAGAGTTGATCTTGCGGTTCTGCTCTTGAAGTTCTTCTTCCTGATGTCTGTTGAGACGTTGAGGAATAATTGTTTAACTTGGACTTGAGAGGAGTGTGGCAAAAGGTTATGCTATCACTTGATAATCCACTTTCCATACACCTGACCTGATGCCATGATTTAGCCTTCTCCTTTCCTGGTTTACATTACCTTTTAAACTTTCTCTTGTTTATGGTTATATGCTGTGACCATGATATTCCAATTTCTTTCTGGCTTCCATCTTCTTATATTCTCCTTTTATCTGTCTGTCCGATGGCAGGAAACTGTTGATGCTGTAAGGACCAGCGAGCGTGAAAGGATTAAGATCAATGAAGCACTAATGGGCTTGTTGTTGAGGCTGGACTCGGTGCCTGGGACTGAACCAAATGTGAGGGCGCTTAGGAGGCACTTGAGCCGTAGGATTGTGGGTTTGCAAGAGATTCTGGATGCTGTTTGTGACACTAGAGTTGAGAATTGGGATGTCTTTCTAAGGGACTGGGATGATGTAATTTCTAGGATAGAAAAAGAGGCTTGCCGAGAGAGAGGTGGCGGGCATGAGATGGAGAGGTTTTGTGCCGAGTATCTGGGGTTTAATTGCCTACAGAGATTTCTTCGTGATCAATGATCTTTGCTCATATAGAAGTTTTCTACCCTTTTTCTTCAACTGGAATCTCACTCTCTAGGTGCTTCTTATTATATGTAAACCAAAATTTGTAAATCATTATCTCAACACCACAATCTTATGATCACATATATACCATTGTACATAGCCACAGAAGTGAACTACTGACTAAGAGCATCATTTAGGAACTAAAATCTCCATGGATTCCAATGGGAGACTGCAGAACCTTACCTGCTTGACGGGTTTGTAAGTACTTGGACAACTAATTGTTCGCTTTATGTTTTCACTGGTTTTGATAGTTCGTAGAATCATGATAGTCCTGCAAAATCTTGTATTTTTTATATTTTATTTTGTTGGTACTTCGTATTTGCTTTGTCATATTCACCATAGTCATTTTGCTACGTTTGTTGATTGGTGCAAGCTTGCAAGGCATTGTATATTAGCTGAAACATGAGACAGGAAGATTTTGACTACAATAAATGTGTTTTCATCCATTGAATAATACCACACTGTTGTCTGTGTCCTCTAGCATGATGTATTCCAAAGATTATTTTGACATACAAGAGCATTCTTGTACAGCTTTGTGGTAGGATTATTAAGCTCCCAAGGCTCTTATAGCAACCACTTGGTAATGGAAAAAAATTCTGGAAGCTAGCTGTTGCTTATAGGAATAGCACAATATGATGGCCACGTTGTTTACAATTCTTTCACCATCGTACTTTGGAAGCATTTTGTCACAGTAAAAGATTAAGCTGCATCTCTACCCAGGAGTAGTTCCTTGCATTACTCCTAGTACCGTTCTGCAATTGGTGAAGTAAGTAATGTAAATTGCAACAAAACTAAGGATACCTTACAAAGCCTATGATCACACGAGGAATACATCCACACAACTGTTGCGAGAATCCACACAAATTTAACAGCAGAAATACATCAAATTGAACACAGGTGTGCTCCTGAAACATGGCTACCGTACACATCTAGGCAGAGCAGCTGCACTTGCACCGGGATAAGCATTTTTTGCAATCAGCGAGCTTTGGGTAGTCAGTATTGCAATCACATTTCTTCATGCATTTGGTACGAGAAGTGCCACCCCACAAACACTTGGCCATGCAACGCATGATTGGCACACACCCGGGGCAGTTGAACTTCATGCCATTAGCGATGCACTGACTACAATTGCTTGTATCAGAAGAGCAGGCTAGTGATGGCCAGGCCAACTCCGAGAGTATGATCAGCAGAAGCATCAGCGTGCACGAATTTGTTCCGATTCTGGACAGCCTCATCCTCCCTTTCATGACTTCCGTCTGCTATAGTAGGAGTAACAAATTTGCCTTGCTTTGCTGCTTGAGCCTTTTGTACTGCTTCTGCAGAGAATGTGAACACATTAATGAAGCGATAGCACTGCATGCAGCATTACTAATTTACTGCAGAATTTATTGACCTCGGACCTAACCTTTTTCTTGGATTGCTCAACATGTCATCTCCTCGTTTAGGCCGACAAATGTCACACTCGATGGCATTTACTTTCCCAGTCCCTGTCTGTCCTGCCATGCAAGTCTCCCCTCTTCTTTTCGGACGAGGGGCCTGGACGGTCCCAGGCAGTTCACGGTCTGGATGAGGTTTCAAAAATTTGTGCAGCTCAGATCACGTCTTGTAACTCGATTTTCACGTCGTGTGAGACCCATAAAAATGTTGTTCTATTGTTACTCGCTGTTGTTCTATTGTTACACCTTGTACAGATGATGTTACACCATGTACAAATGGTGAACAACCGCTCCAGCCCCGCGTCCCTTCTTTTCCACCTCCACATGGATTGTAAACTAAGGGTGCCACCGCCACCGCGTAAAGAACGCCATATAGTTGGTGACAACTGACAACCAACATAGCCGAGCCGATCTTCTATGGACGCGACCATCTTGATTGGGTAGTCGGTACCTGACCCAAAATGGGAAGATGACCAATTGGTGTTGTGTTCTTATATGCTTATGGCAAGCTTTCTCTAGAAGTGGCCGCTGGCCAGTATCAATTTACATTTCCAACGATGGTGTTTAGAGGACTATCCTTGTTTAGAGCATCTGTGGCAATTGTTTTGAACAATAAATTAGTGTGTGACCAAACAACAAGATGTGCATTTCGTCAAAAAAAAAAAAAAAGTTTTTTCTAAAAGTGAATCTAGAACCAACTCTAAGACTGCTCAAGTCTTATAGTGAATTTCCAATTATCATCATTTTGAAAGAAGAAAATGGGGGCATCAGAAATTATCATTATTGTTGGGCAACGAGACGAGATTCATGCAGAAACCCAGAAATTAACACGAGATTCATGCATTTCGACACAAAAAGAGAGAAACTGTCAAGCAACTACGCATGAAAAGAAATTATTTGCTTGCATCACAAACATACTTTTTAACATACATTTTCATCTACTCAATTACAGTTTTATTTCACATACGTCATATTACAAGAAAAATGATACTACAGTAATTATTTTAAATAATCTCCTGTCCAAACACAGTATTATTTTTGAATTAATGGGAGAATTTGGCAAAAGCCACTATTGCAATGACCAAGCACGTTCTTAATTCTAGCAAAGCCACCCATGACTCCATGAGATATATTACTATGATTAGTGCTTTTTGTACGGTCGATGTGTGTATGATAAAGAAATGCGTAATATTATGATAAATAAATTTTATATAAAATTTTCACTGCTAAAGTAAACTCTAATTTTTAAAATTTCTTTCACATAATAATTGTCGTATTGACGATTCTAATATTTAGGGTTAGTCATGTTGAAAAGTAGATAGTTAAAACAAAACATGTTTTTAAGATAACTAACCATAAACATGTCTTTAGGTAAGTTAAAATAAAAGTAGTTTCTATAAGGATAAAAAAAAATTAAAGATCAAAGAGTCACAAATTGAATCTTCGAGTAATGCATAATCTTTCAAACTCAGCAATCCTTGTCAAAATTCTAGTCCAGAGACGGGTGGTCCAAAAATTCTAAGGCCCTGACGAGAAAACCGGGTAGTTCAATTCTCGTCGATTTTTTTTTGTGTTGTAAATGCATGAATCTCGTGTTAATTTCTCATCGAGCAAATGATTCTTGCGTTTTGTTTGGGCATCCACAATCACGTCAGCTAGACAAAATATATACCAACCCAACAAACCAATTCACAAATATCGTAAAAACCAAATAGTAATAGGTTTATACCATAATGATCCAATTAGCTGAAACAAATGGAAAGGTGGGGAAAATACTATGAGGGAGGGGAGAGGCTTAACCAACATCCTTCCATTCTTAACCCAACAACGGACAGGTAAGGTCGTTGGGGCTAATTAGCCGCTGATGCTTTACAAACTCAATGAAGGCGAGTGACTCCGTACATCCTTTCCAATCTGCCCTGCCCCTTAAAAATGGTGGTAAGAAGAGCCAAAAACTGGTGTAGATAACGAAGGCTAGCGTTAATGGCCCCGATATAATTCCAGGGATCCAAATCTTTCCCTTTAATGCCCTTTTAGCAGCAATCTCTATAACCAAAGACACCCCATGAAGCAGAAAGAAGCACGTAACTTCACCTGTGGGCTTCAGTCTTCCGATGTTATAGAAAACCAGCTCGTGCATTATTCCGGATACCAAAAACGTTGCCACCACCGCCGGAAGAGCTCTCCATTTCTTCCCGATCAAGCTTGAAGAAATCGAGCGAACCGGTTCATAAACTGTGGGACGGAGAATATTAGACACCATCAGATTCCACCTCCTCCCCCAAAAATCTTGAAGCGAAGTAGCCAAGTATGGCTCGTCAAAGTGCGGTTCCAGTTCGACTCCAATCAGTCCTCTAGCGAGCCCCGCTACCATGGCAAGTACAAGTTCTAGCATGAAATATATGTGAAGGCAATAAAAGAACCATATGATGTTTTGTTGGATGGAGTCTTTGTACGAATATACTCGAATGCACAAAACCAAGAGCACGATCTTGATGACATAATTTAGGGGCGATCTTTGGCCTTTCTTGGTGGATTCTTGGGGAGAAGGCGCTTGTTGAAACTTGATAGGTAAACAAGCCAAGGGAATGAAACGAGATAAGGGAATGGATTCGGAGGAGGACAAAGGGCCTTTGTTGAAGGCAAATAACAGGAGCTTGAAGCTACCTAGCCATGCTATGAAGAAAGAGGAGGTACCCCCGAGATGGATGGTGGTTAGATTGAGAGGGAGATAGATGAAGAGACATGCTACAGGGATTATGGCAAGCAGTCTCAGGATCCCTTTTGGGAAGATTTTGTCTACGGTGTAACAGTAGCATAGAGATGACAATATAGTTGCTGATACAAAAACGAAGTTGCTGATCTCCCCTTCCATTGATCTTCGATGGCTTTCAGGTACTTCCCCCAGATCTATAGCCAGGGCGTAAAAGGTTCAAGAATGGATAAAAAAGGGGTGGTTGGACTATGTACTGGTAGTACTTACTACTATTTATGAGATCAATATGTCTGGATGGCGGGCGTGTTACTTAATCAACGTGATAATAATAATACGATTACAACGAGTAATAATTTGTATACATGATTCTACAAGAAATGCTATAAGCATTAACTAAACTTGCTTATAATCACGATTACACGAAACTCTGTGCATAATTGTTGTGGTTAACTAGAGAGGTGGGGTTCGCTAGCTTCTTGTTGGTTTTTTTTTTTTTTGGTTTTTGGCGGAGTGGGGGGAGGTGTTGAGATGCAATTCGTTAAAAAAAGAAACAAAAAAAGAAAAGAAAAAGAATAAAGGTTACTAGCTAGTATTAGCCACTAGCTGAAGAAAATTATGGGATAGTTGTTTTCTTTTGAGCAAGTCAACATTTGACTTGAAATGTTGGAGTAAAATACCCAATCATTCTTGGTCCAGGTGGTCCTGTTGGACTGGGTGTACCAGATTGCTCCTATGGTCGTGTACATTCCTTAAAGGTCTTTATTTTTTGTACATTCATTTATTTATTTGGTATTCATAATATTCTTATATTCGCGGTCGACGGTCTCATTTGGAGACCTAGAGGAACTGGTATTTGCTGCTTTAGACCATGTCTCCTGAGTTTAAAAACTAAAAAAGCTGCGCACTAAAATAATTAAATAAACTGCAGGTTGAGAACTTTTTGCCCGGGAACAGTGTAGTGTAGTTTATCAATACTTTCTTCTCGAGTACTGCACAAGATTATAAAGGAATGCGTTCTTATAAAATACGAGATAATGCAACTAATTGGCAGCTGTTACTAATCAATAGTGGTGAAGAGATGATGAACAAAAAATGGAAAAGATAATGAACAGTGCATTTCCCATCAAAGGCAGTATCTTTATGGCACTTAGGCTGCAAACGAACCGAACCGCTTGCGAGCGACTCGATTCAAGCTCGAGTCGAGTTCGAACTGGTTCGAGTCAAAATTGAGTTTCAACTCGAGTTTAAAATATGGGATAATTGCAGAAACCTCCCCTAACTTTTATAGTAATAGCATTGACCTCCCCTATCAATTTTGAAATAGCACTGACCTCCCCTATCAAAAGTTGGAGGCAATTTAATAGGTAAAAGTGGGTCAATTTACTAAAGTACCCCTGACATGATTTAATTTTACCAAATGAATGTGATGAGTACTTTCATCAAACCCAACAAAACATTTGTTAATAAAAATTACACTAAATTAACTATTTGTGAATAGTTTAACTAATTAACTAAATAACTAATAATCTAATTAATTAATAACTAATTATCTAATTAACTATTAACTAATTAACTAATTATCTAATTGTTAATAGTTATTAACTAATCAAACTATTTCTGCATAGTTAAACTAATTAACTATTAACTAATTATCTAATTAACTATTGACTAATTAACTAATTATCTAATTGATTAATTAACTAATTTCTATTTATCTAATTAACTAATTTCTATTTATCTAATTAACTAATTAACTAATTATCTAATTAACTAATTAACTAAAGCTATTGTCTGTCCGAAACTAACAAACTATTTGCATGTTAAACTAATTAACAGCTTAACTAATTAACTACCTAATTATCTAATTAATTAATTAACTAATTAACTAATTTTTTTATCTAATTAACTAATTAACTAATTATCTAATTAACTAAAGTTGTTGTCTATCCGAAACTAACAAACTATTTGCATGTTAAACTAATTAACTAATTAACTGCTTAACTAATTAACTAATTCACTAAAGTTGCCGTCTATCCGAAACTAACAAACTATTTGCATGTTAAACTAATTAACTAATTAACTGCTTAACTAATTAACTAACTAATTATATAATTAATTAATTAACTAATTTCTGTTTATCTAATTAACTAATTAACTAATTAACTAATTAACTAAAACTGTTGTCTATCCAAAACTAACAAACTATTTGCATGTTAAACTAATTAACTAATTAACTAACTAACTAATTAACAAACTATTTGCATGTTAAACTATATGCAGTACGCATTGTCTATTTAAAGTATCGGCTCTTTATGGGTATTTTACTTTCAAACAATTAATTTATGATAAAACATCAATGTTTGTAAGTAAAATTCAAAAAGTGTTACAATAATATCAATATTCTTACTTTCAAACATTTAATTTATGGTCCTATGCCCCTCCCTTTTTGTAAGAATATTACTGTAACACTTTTTGAATTTTACTTATAAACATTGATGTTTTTATCATAAATTAAATGTTTAAAAGTAAAATACCTATAAAAAGCCGATACTTTAAATAGGTAATACGTACTGCATATAGTTTAACATGCAAATAGTTTGTTAATTAGTTAGTTAGTTAATTAGTTAATTAGTTAAGCAGTTAATTAGTTAATTAGTTTAACATGCAAATAGTTTGTTAGTTTCGGACAGACAACAACTTTAGTTAATTAGTTAATTAATTAATTAGATAATTAGTTAATTAATTAATAGTTAATTAGATAATTAGTTAATAGTTAATTAGTTTAACTATTAACTAATTAGTTAAGCAATTGTCTAGCAAATAATAATTGTCAAGCAAGTAAGGGCAAAGTTGGAAGAAAATTCCTATCTCACTTCTACA